CACCGCATAACTTTTGCATTTTTCCCTCACCATTTTTTTTTCATTTCCCTGGGCGCAGAACCCACAAGGCAATTTTTTAGGTTCGAATACAGTGAGCTGAAGGATTGATGCTGGTCTATTTTCATTTTTCATTTTAATTTCCTTAATTTCCATGTTCGGGTCCATTTCTTCTCAGTGATCTCAGTATAATTATATGATTCAGCGGTACGGTAACAGATCCAGGGGTGGCACAGCCAGGCGGCACTCGCCTCCCTATTCTATTGATGGAAATACATTTTCCTTTGTTAACAACAAATTTCGTTTCCTTTCAACTGCACAATAATTTGATATTTTCAAAGAGAAATTATCCCAAAAGATACGTACATGTACATGAACGTGCACATGTGCACGCATAAATCACGGTCGACCATCATCGACAGAGAGCCAAAGTTGATATTGATAAAACTAACGAAGAACAACTCACCATAGCTTAAACATAACATGGTGTATCTTTTTTGAAACACTATTTCAATTACCACGATATGCAGCATGTGTGGAAGGACTGGAGAACAATTCAAAATTTCGATTTCAGAATCCCCTTAAATACAGGAAATATAACGTACACAGACATTTTTCACCCCATTTACTCCCAAATGTCACTTATGATTCACAAGAAACACATCACAAAATAAAATCTGCAGCCTATTATATTTCTCTGGTATAAATTCAGCAAACTTTTATACAATGCGGAAGAACTCCTCCAATAGATTTTGGTATAGTCGTTTGCTGGCTGGCGTTGCCATTTTAACAAGGAGCAGAAACTTTGACCCCGACTTTGCTGAATTTTAGGGCATGCGCACAAACTAAGTGGAAGGAGTGAACATACGTGAACGACGCATAGCCCATTCAGTCTTCCCCCACGGTAACCCACGTGACATTTAATTTTGATCTGACTGACATTTTATTTTTTCATTGGCCATCAGGTTAATAACAGAATTCAGAGTTATAAAAATGGCACGGCATAAAGTCCCCATTACATAGTCAAGTATGTCCCTTTTCAAACTCAAAATAGAATAGCCTACTGCCAAAATGTGCCTGTCATTTCTCAACAATTTCTAAAAATCAAATGCAAGTACTGACCACTCCATGTTTTCCTAGTTGCTGTGCATGAAAACGGCATGAAGGACACCGTAAGTCCTGTACCAAAATGGGCCTAACGAAACATCAATTTTGCACGGTTACGGACAGAAAAGAGATGGTGCATCGTCGTGTACGATGCATTCCTGCAAAACAGTTGTGATTGTACACGTACAAAACGAAATGGATAAAATTATCTTGCTTTTGCTTGCTATACAATTTGCCCGAAATATACATTTGTCTAAAAGTCGGCTGTCATTTTTGTTTCCCACAAACAACGCCAGAAAACACACGCCAAACAGCAAAGTAGACATAATGTTGGGTCTATGCTCGCGGTCTGCGCTCCGGCTGGACAAGACAACATTGACCAGAGGAGTGAGTTGGAGGCTGGAGAGCGTATGGCTATTGCCAAGATCCCGATAATGTTGTCCAGGATTGTGGCTCGTGTTAAAATAAGTACGTTTGTTGGTCCCTTTGTCCTGCCAGGTCTGGAGTCTCAAATCTGTTAAGAGAGAGTGAAAAACTCTTCGATAAACCATTTGATAAAAGAAAACTGCCTCAAACCATTGTCTCACTGAATGTCATATGTTTTATTCTTTTCGCCCTACCCACGTGAAAGTCCGACAACTATCGATTAAACCCTCATCAAATGTACGAGAGTTGGCAGCTGGCAGCCATAAAGTGAAAGTGAAGAGTTATGCGCGAGTCATTCCATCGCATGCGACCAGTCTTCGTGCTATTCAAATCTAAATGCAATTTGGAATATTTTATATCTTTAACGTTACCTGTGTAGCTTTTAGTAGGCCTTTTTATTCATATCCTGCGATATTGTCTAAGCTTGTTGATTTCTGTAACAGATGCGCTTATTTTGTTACATTGAAAACAAAACGTGAAATCGACTCATATTGTTGATTTGAAAGACGAATCGTCAGAATTACAATTTATGTTTGGGCCCCATGCACTCTGTCATAAACCAGATCTTAAAACCTAACTAACCCAACTGGGTCCTAACAGTGACACGCCACTGACAATCGAGAAACATTTAGAAAATGTGATATTTGCAGTAAAAAACTTTATTTTCAAGTATCAACAAATACTTCACGATCGGAATTCGCGGGTTTTACTTTTTGCAGCTGCTTAGTTTATTCTGTACAAAATACACAATAAGGACCAAGTTGTAATGAAAAAACAAAATCAAACAAAAAGGCAGAAAATAACTGTATTAAGCACAGCGCTCTCTTACATTTATGGGGTCCTTGATTACGAGGCTACAGAAATTTACACGTGTACTGTAAAAGATAGCAGGTCTGAATGACAGCTGTTAGTCCTGCAAGACATCTGAAATGAACTGTATATTATAAGTATTAATGACAGTAATCAACAGGCCAAATAGGTGGTTCCAGGAAACTAGTCCTACGGCCACTGATAACAGCGAAGCATTTTCAGCTGTACGGATGTACATGGACCGGTCTCGAATCGTTGTTTAGTCCATAATAAGTATCGTCAGGAAGATAAGTGAAACAATATGGTCAACGTTCAACATTTCCTGGCAGCGTCGTATCCAGCTTTTGGTGAGGGGGGGGCGCAAATTCAAAAGTGAATGCGGCTTCGGGCTCATTCAACATAATGTTGAGAGAGAAAAAAATCATAACCCTTACTCTCTGTCCCGACATCGTTGCTTTTTATTTCATGGTGCTGTTTTCTTAGGGTTTTGGTGCTAAGTTTTGATAAATAAATATGCCTATTACTTTCTTACTTATGAAGTATGCTTTGTAAAAAAAAACCCAAAAATCCGTCGGGGGAGGGGCTAGTCCCCCCCCCGCTGTATACGTCATTGTTTCCTAGTCTTCCGGCGAAATGACTCCATTTTGCAGCTGGTGCATTATTTGACTTCTGACAAAACCCTACGGACTACGTTTGTTGAGATAGTAAGCCGTTGCCATGGTAATATACCACACCAAGAAAGGTATACTTTAAATCAACTCTGAATCGAAAGCAAATATTCACGGCCAGTGCCTGCTGTTGTTTTCATCTATATCTCTGTTGAAATGCTAGCAATATTCTGATGTGGTCATTACCAAAGGGAACCTGTACACAAAGCATTTTAGTTAACTACCACTTGGACTTAGCTATACTTGGCTCTATGCTCGAAGTTACCGATGACCGGAGACGTTTCGAATAGCAGCTTCAGCCAAGAAGCAGTTGATGACCGAAATTAGCTGGCAATAAAATCGATAAGGGACCTAGCTGCGGAGGTAAGGCTTCATTAGTAAAAGCAGTTTCACGGGTTGAGTTATTGTGAAAAAAAACACATCCAGTCACTGGGGATTTAAATTGTCCACTTTAAAAACCCCTGGAATTGATACTCGTCCCGGAAGTAACACTATTGGTTTGAGCATGAATCTCTACCGGGGGAGGGGGCAAATGGAACAATACAAACACAACGTCCTTTGACATGGGCTCATTGGACATTTTTAGCTACATGAAATACAGCCTCTACTAACTTTTGTTTGGATTTCAAGTATGAATAAGACGAGGGAAACTGGCTGTTTTCAATAGTTAAACATATCAAAGATCTGTCGACTAAGCAAATGAACTAAATGTTAAAATAGAAGTGTTTCCCCCGTTTCATGAGGATGCTCTTCCTATCGACGAAGATGGCCCTGGACATGCTGCAGAAGTTTCTAGTCTTGTCGCTGTTATCAACCTTCATCATTTCTATCATTAGTAAGTTCAAATGGTTTCCTCTCAAACTCTTCAGGTCATGGACAGATACATCGAAGGCCTGTCCTTCTTTAATTGCATGGTTAATAAGAATAATGGCGCAGATGGCTATTTCAATACTGACAGGCGCCCCTGCTGGCCGCTGCTCTTGGGAAAAAAATGGAATAAGCTGTGAAAGAACATACAACGAGCCTATTGACCGACAAACATCTTTGTGTTATATCAAAATATTGAGGTGGGCTTCTCAGCAGACCCCCCCCCCAAAAAAAATCCTGACAATACTGGGAATTCATAGAGAGTTTGCAACGCGTTGATCAATCACAATGCGCGAAATCTGTCGACTCTCCGCGCACTATGATTGGTCAATGTGATGGGAACTCTTGGAGGTGCGCTACTGTGAGTCGCCCGTATTTGAGAGATGTTAAGGTCAAGTAGCCAAATATCTGTTATAAATATTTCCTTGATATAGAAATATTTTTTCTTTGCGGATTCCTCTACTTACAATCATGCTTTGTTGTTTAATATTATGTGTTTTAATTTGCATAATGATCGCCACTTAGGAAAACTTTGATCAAGCTGACTTGTTAGAAACTAAATGGCGTGTGCACGCTACACCTTAAGAGTATAGTGTTTCATTGTTCTGGATCTAGCGAAAACTTGCGTTCTAAATATGAAGTATTAATAATTATAGTAAAACATTACGTTTTACTCTGTTCTCACGGTTGATTGCTACCTGACGACAATACTATTCATACGGCAAGGAACCAGTCCACAAATTAAGCGTGTGTGATGCGCACATTTTAAGTTTGGGACAAGCAAATTCAAGGCATGAAACCCAACAAAATGCTTTGAAATCCGAACTGGTTCTATATAACTTTTAATCAGACCGCCCTTTTCCCGTGCAGATTATTATCAGCCACCTTTAGCATTCACGCCCACCGAGACGTCAAACGGTTACGAGATGAACAAAAACGACCCGGAGAAATCGCCGGACGCAGCGAGCGGTGGCACGGAGGCCCGTGGCCGTCTCTCCGACTGTACCTTGGCAGAGGTCGCTGAGAGAACTGGTGTGGTGATACTCACCACAACAAACACCGCCTTCTTGGACATGACATTAAACATGTTCGAGAGCATCAAACGGCTCCGACTCTGCATCAACGCCACTATCATTGCCGAGGACCAGCGGGTTTACGAGTACCTACACCAACTGCTCGAAGGTGATCCGGGAATTCACGTGCTCAAGACCAACTCTGGAGAGATGGGTGAGGAGGAACTCGATTTCATCCATAATCGCCCGAAGTACTATGGTCTCATGAACAAACGCCAGGCCTATATCCTTACTCTATTGGAGCAGGGCTTGGAGGTTCTCTTTACCGATACCGACACCTACTGGTTCCGAGATCCCCTTCCATACTTCCACGGAGACTTTGACATGTACATGGTAGACCTAGACGCTTACTCCCCTCGTCGGAATAAAGGACCTGCACGGATAAATTTCTGTGCCGGTTTCGTTCACTTCAAACCAACGAAGGAGACACTTCGGTTCGTTGAGGCGTGGATCCAGACCATGACCACTCATCAAAGGAGGGGGCAGCATATACCGGACCAGGTAGTCATGAACGACCTGCTCCGTGAGCGTAAGCCGGTCAGAATCAAGGTCCAGCCTCTGGACAGCAATCTGTTCCCGTGGGGAGAAAGATTTTATGAAATGCTAGCTCAAGGGAAGAACTATCCCACAGTGGTGATGCATGCTGCCACTATCCGGGGTCACAAAGCCAAAGTCGAAAAATTTCGAAGTTCAGGGATGTGGCTGGTCAGTAACACGAGCGAGGAGTTGTTGAATTTGGGGGTGTAATTTAGCGCTATCGCCACTGCAGTGTAGTAACAGAGATCTTATATCTTTAGCATAGTAAAATGTATGATATCATAAATTTTTTTCCCATAAAGTTTCAACGAGATCACCGTTCAGAGAGTGTGTGCTTCCTTGAAGCGTAGACGCGTAGTATAAAATAATCACTGATGTAGAATAATCACTAATATGATAATATAATCACTGATGACTTTGTGGTGTTTTACATTACTTCAATTGCTATAGAGTCATTTTATAATAGTTTACGCTTGAACCATAATGACTCCATTTGCTCTTATTCAGCCATCTAACTGTATTTCCTGATATGGTTACACTTTGATATTTTCTAACATAATTACTTGCGTGCTGTGACCTTGAAAACAGTTGACTGCATGTCTTGTAGCAAAATAAATCACTGGCAATCATCAGCTTCACACGTGGCACATTTAATGCCAATTAAAAAAGGAGTGGTTGTTCTTCTGCCTGAAAACCAGGAGGCATTCTGTTCAACAAAAACGGTTGCGAGCTCCACCCAGAAGCACTCCCCTTAATCAACGGCAAAGATAACAAACGTGACTTGTGTAGCATTTCATAGATTCAACGCTTTCATTTCCAGAAGTTTCCGTCACTCTTTTGAGAATGATAGGACAGTGCTGTCTTATTTGGTATAGAGTAAATCTGGCCTCCTCGAAGGCATTTGAGTAAAAAATGTGAATGAAAAAGAACGAACATACATGAGTAAAATAGAAAAATAACATCGCCTCGTTTAATCGAGGATTTTATTTTTACCATTTCACCCATAAATATTCATTTCTATATACTACCCAACGAGGCAAAGCCATTATGTCATCTGTCCGTAACATGATCCAGAACTAGTATAGCTAAGGGGCTAGATGTTTAGCTAAGGGGTGTATGCCGGGGTAGGGTGCTTCATTTAATTAACAGATTTTAAGGGTCATTAAATACTGTAATGCACTGCCTACCTATTCTTGCAATGTTGATGTTTTTTTCTCCGTTGAACACACGGTTAAAGGCAAACACCATACACAAGTAATATGCGAAAGCATGTCTTAATTGCATAGAATGACCTTCACATGGTGTGCGCCGACGCCTTTTTTATACCTGGGCTGTTTCCTCAAAGAATGTAATTATGCCTGTTATTTTTGTCACTTTAATCAATATATGCCCTACCAGTAGATAGTTTTGTGAAATGGGGATATTTGCATCTTTCTGTAAGTGAGGGCGCTAATTTGAAGCCTTTCCCTTTAGAAGTCCGGGCCGTGTACGTGGAAACTGTGTATGGGTTAGAATTAGTGTTAAAAGCACCCTCTTCATAGACCTCGTCTGTCGACATGTCCCCTCTCTGGCTCCTTTTCCCCAACGGGGTCACTGCTGTCAACGTGGACGTAAATCCCAGGGGGGTGGGGCGGGAATAATATCCCCCTCCCCACTTTCTGACCAGGGGGATGGGCTATTGAATCATTTCCCACTTTTTCCGTAGTGAGAAAAAAAATGAAGGCGGATTGTGAAGAATTTTCCCACTTTCCAATATCTATAATGTATTACTGCCCCGCAAATAATTTTTTTGTTCACGTACGTACGCGACAGTTTCACGTACGGACGTGCAAAAACGTTTCAGTGCAGTAGCGCTCAGAAAGGGAGAAAATGTTTTTACAAGGCCCCAATAGAGGGATCCCAATACGACGCGTTTAGGAACGATCTGCGCACTTCCGCGTTCAAAGCGAGGCTGTATGTGTCAGCTTCGGGGGCCTGTTTTGGTGTAAAGTCATGCAGGAGTATAACACATGTACCTACAGATGTGCATCTGTACAACATCTCCCCCTTATGTTATCACGTGGTGTCAGCACCCCCCCCCCCCGTTTTTCAAGTTTCCATGGCCTGGTTACTCCTCCCCCCTCCCCACACACGCACACTTCCCCCAAGTCTACATGTACGTCACTGGCTGTAAGCGTACGACCCCAGTTCGTCCGCATTTCTTTTGAAATAATGTGTGTCGTCGGTAAAGACATGTGGGCAAGGACCGTGGTTAGTCATCGTTCATTGGCCTTGCATGACTCATTCCCGGACTCAGTTCAACCGCTACCCGCAAAGAGTATTACCTGCCCAGATCACTGAGCAGATAATAATTATGTATGCATTCTAAACTGCAGTGTCCGATGTCTTCGGTATGTTTGGCATCTAAAAGGAAATAATTTGTTGATACCGAAAATTTAACCCAACGGTCTTGGCAGTATATCTGAAGCACAATGGAAATACACACATCTGGAAATTAATTGTATTCGTAACGTGGTTCTAATTACGATCTCGACAATGATATCTGTATACAATATTACACTCAGTGATGATGCCACAAATTTGATTGTCAGTCCTGATTCATCTTTGAATTCGACCGGGGGGGTCGACTGTAACCTGCGACCTTGCTGCGACGTATAGCGGTTGTTCAAGTCCAATGGATTAGGTTCAATTCCCAGTATTTTCTTAACGATACTTAGTTTCTTTGTTTTCCAAATTTCCTGTGGAGGACAACGGTTTTTATGGGGAGGGGGCGTGCATCCCCAACCCTCCGCACCTTGGCTTCGCTCGCCCCTACGCATGCATGCAGGCTGCAATATTCCATACGCAATCCTTGGACATGATCATCGGGTTGACAGCTTTGTCAGAATATAGACTGAGACTGCTCTCTTCCTGTTGCTGTTTTACTGATCAAGGTTATTAGGACCACGAACTGGCCAAATCCTGGCTCTCTGTGTAGGCTGTCTCGTGTCATTTCCGACAGTGGACGCATTTCCTTCCAAGCAGATAATGCATTTTAAACCCGATCCACGCTATCTTCATGACTGTACCACAGACATCATAAAAACAACTGCAGTGAAACATCTCTCTGAATATCAAAGGTAAGCAGACAATTTAAATTGATATTTCCCTTTGGGACTTGCAACTGAGAGGTAGCTATGTCACAGTCGGCCGTATGGGGAAACCTATTGGTGACTCAGTATTAGGGGTTGCAACCTTATCATTAATACAATGGTAAAACGAAGATTACAAAACATGTAAGGTTGTACTTAACACGCGAGAGAACTCTAACAGTTTGCACTGTTTTCTTTCTTAATGCAAACACTCAGCAATTCCACCACAATTCTACCAACGATGCTCCCCGTTCCCAGCGGCGTTATGTCCCGTAGAGCTTGGGCTTCGTCACTGATTGTGTTTCTAACTTTTCTCGGGTTATGCTCATGCCGTTCACAAAGGCCTCCTTTAAGGAACGTCGACCCGCCGTTCAAGCAAAGCTTCAACATAAGCCGTGAGTAATACCCTTACTATGGCCCTTTATTATAATGATGCAAAGCCAGAAATTCATGTTTTGGTATAGTACGTTTGATTGTACATGCAGCCCCGGCACTGATATTCGCAAGCCGACTCAATCTGGGCATCGCCACGAGTATAGACTGCTGGTAAATGTGACCCACTCTGTGAAAATGAGTCTTAAGTCGCCAGAGCCACTTTGGAGTAAACAGTCCTTTAGAATAATTTTGCACAATGTAAATCAATAGGAACCCACAGCATTTTTAACCATGGAGTATCCACTTTCATGGGGATGCCAAACTGAGTGATACATCAAAACAAAAAGCTCCATTTGCTCGTTTGAATACAAATGAAAACTAAAAAAGTGGCTCTGGCAACTTCAGACTCCTTTTTGCAGAGTGAGTCACAAATATGCAGCTCCCCCGGCCCTCGTTTGTTCCTGAAAAAAGGTACAACTGCAGAGTTCAGGCAATAATTAAGGGTGTAGATTCAAGTCCGCTGGCCTGGGTGGTGACTGTCACATCAGCAATTTAAATACCGATCGTCAAGAGAGTAATCAAATTCATGTCCAAAAAGGTCGAAAACACAGGTTATTTTGTATTATTGCCCAGTACAAGGGAAACATCAATAAAAGCAACGGCCCACCAGAATTATTGGAGTACGCTCGAACGTAGCGTGTTATGCGTGTTCGAGTTCGGAAGGCAAGATGTTTCTACTCGAAAAATCATAGAGGGGGGGGGCTGAATCGCATCCCTTCCAACCTCCAGGAGTAGGTACAAAAAGTAGCTTCTTCCAACAGCTTTTGCAGATATTGTCTGTGTGAACGTCTGTCAGAGATATGATGACTGTGGCATGAATATGATATTATTCAGTGATCCCAAGGGGAAAATACCCATGTAATTTGAATTGACTAGTATTTCTATCCAGCCTGTATTTTGGGTTGCTAGTTTTATCTGAATTAACTTAAACTATGAACGACGTATTATTTTTTTATCTCAGAGAAAGATCCTGTCAAGATCGAAAGTACATGTAAAAGCAATTTGCAGTCAAAATTGTTTCTTATTTTTATATTTGAAATTAAAATTATGCACGTTAATGCTGTCATGATGTGGCTGTCGTGTGTGTGTTGTATATAGCTGAAAGAGTGATTTCCTTTTGTTGAAGCCAGAAAGCTGTTCATATAATATCACTACATGTATTCTTCCGGTACAAACCACAGAAGTATCAGGATCTGCAGTGTCCTATGGACCAAATAGTTCTGTACCTGATGTTGGAAAGTTCTACCGCACTCTGACGTTGCATAATGAGATACTGTACGTTGGAGGCAAATCTCACCTGTTTTCTACCACAGAAAACCTCGAAATGGTAAAGGAATTCAGAAATTTCACTTGAAATCGTATTTTTTGTTTCTGTCAAGAGAGGAGTAAGGTTTTTCTCTTGAAAAATTTTTTCGTCGGAGATGTTTTACGGGGAAATATGGAATTTGGTTTTCCCTACCAATTTTCAGATTTTTTTATCAGCAACGGTTCAAATTCAAGAACGTTTTCAAATTTTGTTATAAAAATCCTGATTTCTTTTTACACTAATTGCATTCATTTTCGCTTTCGTGCAAACAAGTCTGCTCTGCGCTTTGGTAATTCGTTTTCGTTTGTAGACATTCAAATCTCCGTTTTCCACAAGGCGCAAGTTAAAATTTTGTACCAACAAGACCTTTACAAATTAATATAATCAAATTAAGATTCATCGAAATGCAAAGGATATTCAATCTTTATGCTTTGGTTTTTTTTACAGTCATTCTATTTAAAACCTGAAGTGTTCAGGTTAGATACGACTTGTTTGCGTAGATGTTGCGTATTAAATGTCAACAAAATGTTCCCCTCTTGATTGGTTAATGATAGGTTTATGATATACCGACCCCACACTCACTGTGGTCAGAAACATCCCTTTTGTCATGATATTGTTTTGTATAAGGCTGTCTCAAATTAAAATCGATTGAAATAAATGTAGGATGTTTTTCGCGTTATTGTATATATCGTCGGGTGCCCGGCAAAAGGGCGTATGCGCTTACGTCCTTCTTCCAGGCACACAACGATATATAAACACAATTCAGTGTTCATTATTAATTTAGGTCTATAATTCTGACCATTCCAAATGAAAGTTCACAAAGGTAGGAGTATATGAAACTCTCTTTTCAACATGAAAAGAAATTTGATTTCATTTCCATATGCATTTTCCGTTTTATCTTTCTAGGAAAATCCACTTTGATATGCACACGTAAGTGCGAATCCGGAAAGGCCATACAACGATGACCAATGCGCCTTTCCATACGCGCGTCATTACTTCCGCCAAGCGTTGCTTATCCGCCGAAATCGTTCCCAGGGCGTTAATGGAGTCGATTTCAATGTGAAAGAAACACATTGAACGCATCGTATAAGCAACGCACCCCAAAAAATACATAGGCCTATGGAAAGGTGCCTTTGGTAGTCTTGATATGAAAACAAAATCTGTTGTTGTTTCCTTGTGTTTATTCATTCTTAAGTTGTTTCTTTTTTTTTCTATCCTAGGACCCCCTAAATAAATGAAAGTAAAACTCAGCACGCGTGCTTTGTCATAGAGAGCAATCTGAGTGATTGAAAGAGTGAAAGCATGTTGATTCCCCCCCCCCATTTTATTGGTTCCTTTTTTCTGGTTGATTGAATTGATTCTTGATCAACCTCTTTCCAAGATTTTAAACCGTAATTGTAATGAAGGAAAGGACTGTTTGAACTCAAATTAACATATAGACCGAAAAACTGCTCGAAAAACGAAATCGAATGACTTTTTTTCATGTTCGAATGTGGAGAGGAGCATTCATTTTGAAATTTATTTGAATGAGCCTTGCACTGAAATTATCAAGAAAACTTACATTATAATGACCGATGTACCATAACGCATGCATTTCAGTTCATTATACTAACTGTGAAGCGTTCCTCTTAGACCTATCAAAGAAATATAGGACCGGAGGCATTTACAAAGGATTGGTAATCAAGAACAAATTCTAGTTCAATGTTAGTAATTAGCATGAGGATTTAATGAACCATAGAGATGTCTTCCAGTGTGCATAACAACAGATAGGAAAACACATAATTGAAGAAAAGATGTTTTCCTTTCCTTCGCAGCGTGAAGAAGTCTCGGTACCCTCAACATCGATTTTTAAAGATATGGGCTGTGAATTCGTAAGTGTTGTTAACTAATACACTTCATTTCGGGCTTGAATTTGGATTTGGACAGGGTTTGTCTGCGGAAGTATATTTATAGGGGACTAAAACGTTAATTTCAGAGTTATTTTGGAGTTGGGCGCCTTAATCATTTGCCACGGCGTTTCTACAACTGAGAATTTTGATTCCATTCTTTACAGTGTGGTGGCAATTACATCCGAATTATTCAACCTCTTCCGGATGGATCCCTTCTAGAATGCGGGACGAATTCCCTCGTGCCTTATTGCCAAAAAAGATCGACCAAAAATGTAAGCTAAGCAGGGACTTGACGTGGTTTGCACCGAGGGTAAAACTTGATAACAGCTGTGGCAGTCACCTTGTTGACGACGACACTGACGCTCCAACGGTTGCGTTAAGGCTGACGATTTGGTATAGTGTTGAGAGTGACACTGACCGGTTACGACAATAACAACAGCTATAAGGATGACAATGAAGTGATATTTACCACAAGTAACGATGACATTGTTGATGATGACAATGGCAGTGATGTCTTGTGAATGCGAATTTTCCACTACAAAGCTGATTGATAAAAACGATAACTTGCAAATTGCGTTTCCCCCCTTAAGTTGTCATCAGTCGGCGAACGACAGACATTCGATGGTCACAATGTGGTACCCTCGCTGCCTCATCAAAACTCAAGCTGGTTGCTACTGGGAGATTCAGGTAAGCAAACTACTCATGCTCATGAATACTTGCTACATCACAATAGAGATCAGCTCTCGCGATTCGGAATCACAAGTGTAGCCACTTTGATTGCATCGATCGTTTTTTTGTACAAGCAGTTAATAAATCTATACAGTAAGCATGATCGTTCGACTTGTGCGACCAATCAATCAGTGAGCAACTTCCCCTCGTCTAAGAATCTTTTGCAAGAATTAGGAAGTAAAGACTACTGGCTGATGATAGAATGATTAACAGATCTACCAGGGGATCGACCGAAAGTGCAGCGGAATTGAGCGATCGCACAGATTGACTGACAGTCTTTTTGTTCTTTGAATTATCACCCGAAACACAATAATTGAGTTTAAAAATTTTACAGTGCTTTTTTTCTTCTGATTCTACTCAGAAACAACGAATCAAATATTCGTTGGGTCTTACTTGGTTAATTCTTTTGGCGTTCTCGAGGAGCCAGCCATTTTGAGGGCGGTGTTGCGCGAGCCGCTAGGTCGGATTGACGTTCAACTAAAGACCAAGGACAGTCCTCATACGGTTCTAAACGGTAAGCAGGAACGATGTGGGGACAGGGTTGGTTGGTTGAAGAAGCTAACCATGCCCATTCCCGTTTAACCACTGCTAATTGTTTGCACTATTACTTATAAAAATCACAGATCAGAATATCTTTAACGGTAAACAAACTGCGCCATAAAGTCATACCATAATTATGTCTCTGCTCATCGTTTGATTTGTCTGTGTGTCAATTTCGATAGTTGGCAAAACTTTTCCTTTAAAAAAAAACAGATCCACTATCCAACGTGTTGATGACGCACGCGAATCTAAATGGGTAACTAGTAAGAAAAAACTCCTCTTTTATGCCAACTTCATTTGAGAAAAAAGGGTTTTATTTTAATAGGTTACATGTTTACAACTAAATCAAAGACACGTTCACGGAAGTTGCTCTTTACAGTGAATGCTTTATTTTTTGCACCAGGGCCGCAGTTTGTTGGAGATCCGATCGAATATCAGGACAAAATTTTCTTTTTCTTTCGCGAGTTTGCCTCGGAACACATGAACAGCGGTAGAATAGTGTATTCTCGAGTGTCCATGGTATGCAAGGTATGTATCACAATGACGCTGACCTGACTGAAAATTTTTTAAGAAACTTCGATTTGGCATCAATGAGTGACAGACAAGCAAAAAACGGTAGCACAAAATGATGGGACCAAATTCTTTGGAGATGCAGTGCATGAAATTAAGTGAAATTCCTGTGAGAAATTATAGCCGTAAATGCAGATTTATTATTTATTTCAGCAAAAATGAGACGTTTGAAAAAGATCTATTCCACTTTTTTGCAAAACGACATGGCTAATTACAAGACTTATAATGCACTTGACTGTCATGCAGGACGAAATGGGAGGTCGAGAATATACAACCCTCACAGAGAAGCATTTTGTTACGTTTGTGAAAGCTCGGCTTGAGTGCTCCCTTCCCGGCAAATATCCCTATTATTACAACGAAATCCGTAAGTTGGGTGTTTATTAGATACGAAAGCCTCTTACCGCCAACATTAATTTTATTTTCAGGAGCATGCATTTTGACTATCCATGGCAGCTTTTTTACTAAGAAGAGCGACTTTTATTTCTTTCCACTATTTTCTTTTCCAGGGCAGCTATTTATTATTTTCAGGGCAGCTATTTATTATTTCCAGGGCAGCTATTTATTATTTTCACGGCAGCTATTTATTATTTTCACGGCAGCTATTTATTATTTCCATGGCAGCTATTTATTTTTTTCCAGGGCAGCTATTTATTTTTTTCCATGGCAGCTATTTATTTTTTTCCATGGCAGCTATTTATTTTTTTCCAGGGCAGCTATTTATTATCTCCAGGGCAGCTATTTATTATTTCCAGGCCAGCTATTTATTTTTTCCAGGGCAGCATGTATAGATATTTCCAGACCAGCAGTTTTTAGTTTCATTATTGCCGCTTTTGAGAACCTTGATCAAAACTTTGTTTAGTGGAGTTCCCCCAAATAAAAATACAGGGTACTTTTGCACTCTGTCTTTATACCTCCTGAGGCACATGTCTTCAGCCGTCCCATACTGGACTGAACAGTAAGCTTCACTCTTGGTAAATTGCACGTGCAATTGTGTATCGCTTGTGCATATTCCTCCATACGCCAATAAGGTGTTGAAGTGCTTAAAAAAGAAAACCCAGACTGTCACATACATGTACAGCAGAGCATAGAGTGGGCTTAGCTTGCCGCCATAACAGACATTTCTTTTGTTGACAATAGCGCCTGACAGTTTGTACGGCCAGCCAAAGTTTACACAAAATTCCTCCTTGGTTTGCAACAATGTTTGCCTCGCAATACACAATTGGAGTGGCGACGAATTTTTAAAATTATTTTTTTCAACTGAGAATATTTTTCAAAGTGAGTAGGAAAGAAACGAATATGTATATTTGTTTATCATATGAATGAGCTATATTATTTCTCCCCCGTTTTCATGTTGAATGACCACGAAAAAGGATTTGCTTTGGAATTCCCCCCCCCACACCAACAGCTGCATGGATACGCCACTGCGTAATTTGCTCCCTGAATTGGTGTTAATATGGGGATTTCATTTTCTGTTGAGTAGAAGTGTACACTGATAAGTGTTTGAATATTTACAACGGATTTTTAACACTTTGTGGATTATACTTTTGGTTGTATGCTCGGTCAGCCTACTTCAGTCGGGAAAAGCATTTCCTCGTCAGTTTGCCATGCATCCAATTTCGACATGTACATGTGCCACAGGTTACAGGGCCACAGAAGGAAGGGCAGGAGGTATTATGTCACACACCAAATTGAAACCTGATGTAGTCTTTCTTTTGTTTGGGCTTACAGAGGATGTTTACCGATCAACCGTTGATCCAAATGTGGTCTACGCGGTTTTTGCGACAAGGTCGTAAGTAATTTCATTTTGCATAAGGCTTTTTTCTGAGGGAAAAGGGTAAATAACTTTTTGAAATTACACAGGCGAAAATGTGTCACAAACGAAAATGTGTCTCAGTTCAGCTGGAATCCCATAGCCTTCATTTCCATGCTTGCTTTAACAATGTTAATACATTTTTTTATATTTGAAAACGGAGTGTAATCAGGATTTTTTGCCCGTTGTATCTATAGATGAATAAAAATCACAAAATTATAGTTCTTGAAAGCACGATAGTAAAATGGTGCCGGTAGTCTGCTTGGGATCATTTCCACGTTCTTTAATACTATTATTAACCAACTGGCACCATTTCGGTGTTGCATTCATTGTCCCAGTGTTTGCTCTATACTGATGCCGCACTATACACTCACGGTTGCAAGGGGGGTGTTGGGGATGTTAATTCCTCATTGGTTAGTTTTGTCGGCAAAATTATGGTCTGTCGTCAAAATAAGAAAAAACGAAGAACGGAGAATGACGACGAAAGGATGGGGGATACAGGAGAATCGTTTTGGGTGACGGCTCGTCGGCAAATTTTGTGTGCATCCCTCATTCAAAATGGTCCAGTGACGCCCGCGTCTACACCTCCTACGCTACTGTGTAAAAGAAACGAGCTGTTCCCTAAACATACAGGGGAAGCTACATTTGTACCACTGACTCTGTGGAAACCTTTTCTGAGTTAAATTCTTTCACTTTGCACCATAGCCCTGGAGTTGCCAGTTCGGCAGTGTGTGCCTACCGACTGAATGAAATTGAAGACTTGTTTTGGGAAAGCAACTTCTTGGCACAGAAAAAGGACAAAGAGTTGTGGCTGGAATACTTTGAAGATGTGAATAATGAAGAACTCTTTTCTCCACGACAAGCTACGGTAAGTAGACAGGGTTCGCCAGGGGAAGAAAGCTGGCTTCAGCTTTCCCTTTCACCTGACCAAAAAATGGCATTCATAAACGAGAGACGTTGTTATGAAGAGTCTGTCGTTATTCAGCGATTTGATTCAGCGATATTTCATTGTGGTGTTTTGGCTGGAAGATAAAACATATAGGCTATTTTCCCAAATAAAGTACGAGTCCCTTAAATCTATTCATCGGAGAATTTATCAGGTTCCCTCCAAAAGTCCCCTCTGGAACGGTGTTAACGCCATAAAGGAAGTTTTGCTATGAAAATGTTGCCGAAGGTGTTTAAATGTATGCCATATCCAATAAACGGCATATTCTTGCGTCATTTCTTGTTTAAGCAAATTTCCCGACGTTTGTGATTCTATAAAGTGATAGAGCATTGGCAACTTTTTCGTACCGGAAAATTAACAATTACACTATTGCCATGAAAAAATATTAGACTCACGGTATTCTTAAAGCCCTTTTTTTCTTTTCTGGTGTTGCCATGTCAGTGTCCAAATACGAGGGCGTATACTGATGAAGAGTGTAGGAAAATCCTTGCTCTAGGTCAACTGGTTTACCGAAAGGCCCAAAACTCTTTCCCGTACGAGAACCAAGGTCCATCTTTCCATAGGAGAAGGAATAGAATCAGCCCCCTCCTGGTAACACACGGAGAACGATTCACGCAGATTGTGGTAGACGAGGGCGTCGTCGACTCGGTGGATGTGATGTTCATTGGCACAGGTGAGCCATTGCCGTAAGGTCTTGTAGTCCCCATTGATTCTTCGTGGTGAGTGTACCACTGCCGACGAGACTGCAATCTTACAAAGTCTCCAAAGTTTCGACTCATGATATTTAGATGACAGACTTGTTCACAGACGCTAATCTGTTGTAAGCCGTATCACAGGGTAGAGCCATTGTGAATTACTTTCAGCACAAAGGTGTTTTTAAGCGAGACGCGACGGACCATTAGTAGTAAATTTAATCAAGTAATACATCCGGGCATTCTTCTGAGAGAGCCATTTTACTGGTTGTTGTCATCACATTCTGGAAAAGGATGCAAGTGAAGAAAGGCATGAGTGAATTAAAGGTATTGTTAGTATAGCTGATAAGATGGAGTCGGCCCGTCCCTTGCCAAAAAAATCAGAGTTATAAGCAAATTTGTGACCACCTGTTCTGATTCTGAAGATGCATTATCAACTTTCTTGTTCCCGTTCTCTTTTACACATTTTTACACATTGTTATGCTTGTTGACGTATAAGATGTGGAGTTATTTCAAAATCTTAGAGACATGTTTATCTTCTTTTTTTTCATTTGCTTATTTCAGAGAATGGAACGGTGCTTAAGGCATACCTGAGTAGCGACGGGTCTGAAGCAAGAATTGTCGAAGAAATAAGTTTGAACTCAGAAGGGTTGAAGGTTTGTATGGCGTTCGGTGGGATTGACAAGTTTAAAATCAGGTCCCTCTTTTGACGCAAAGTGGTGAAATTGCAACTGTTTATGGAGGTCTTTATAATCCATGCATGCTTTGGTAGTCAAGGTGGACAAAATAGTAGGTTTAATCAAGGGTGCCCTATTCTTTAATCAGACAAATTGCAGCGCGTGACTACAGTGGTCTAATTATGTGGTCTTGTATTATAGCTGAGCTAGCGCCTGGATACTCACGACTGCATTGATCAAAATGAAATTTGAACTCCATATAAATCGGATTCCCTAGTTATATTTTACATGGTTCAGTGGTCCAAATCAGAACAAATTGTTCATGTGGGGGATCGAGTCTATACAGAGCCAAAGGGGTTGAACAAATTTCAACAAGTCTACATTTTACCAGCAGTAGCGCATTTGCTTTTTACGTTGTTACTGATCGTATAGGCCTAGCCACAGAAGAAAAATCAGCAAACATACCCCCTTACAAAATAATTCATTGTACTTTTATATATTTACCGTTAGTTAGTGTATAAAGATATAATGTCCTGAGCAATTATCGTTACATCTTCTGAAACATGCGCTGTTGTCCTTTACGACGTCAGCTTTCTATGGTACCGTGCTATTTGCAAAAGAATTCGACGAGACTTAAAATCAAAGTGAATATTGTCTGCGTGACATCAGACTCGGCTAAGCTATATAAATCAATTCGAGTTCTTTGGCAAAGCACATCATTGATTCCTGTGAACTTTACTGAATCAATGATAACGCTAATCCACTGTCAACCACGCAGGCACCAGTCTTGACAATGGTCAAAAGTGAGGCTAGCCAGGCCGTCTTTGTAGGGACAGACATCGGAGTGTACAAGGTACCCTTCCAGCATTGCCAAGACTACACCACCTGTCAATCTTGTTTGGATTCGAGAGACCCGTACTGCAGATGGACTGGCAATTCGTGTTCCAGCGGTCGCACAGACGGGTAAGGCCAATAGCAGTTCTGATATAAGTACAATAACATTTCTTGATCAATGATAGGCTGATGATATACTCTTTATCAAGCACATACTCTACACATAATGATATTTGTGCTTCTACCTTTTCGATCAGGCTTCAAGATTTGGAAAATGGTTCTTCAGACCTATGTCCGGATAACAAGGGTATGTACAATCTCTAATCAACATTTCTATTCTGTTCTTTGTTACTTCTTGCTTTTTTATTGTTGGCTTGTTTTTATGATGCATGTGTTTCTTTTACTAATTGACTGTCATTTGGTTGTCTTGAAATTGTTCAGTGGAAATGATAGCAAAGACTCATCGTCTCACTGGCTAAGCTTGTGCATTATGATACGACTTGAGATAATTTGAAACGGAAGGGGGTGATCGTCTCGTTTGTCGGACAGCAATGAAATGTTCATAACGTATGTGTATTATTATCGTTACAGATGACAAGATCCTTTTCCGGACGCTACCAAAGAGCCAATCGAGGGCTGTCAATTTCCCCAACCACCCGGTCAACCTGCACCTCGTAGCCGAGGCTCCACGGGGCAGAAACCTTCGGCCAGTCGGCGTGGACTGCTCCCCGTGCGCGAGCCTGCCTTTCACCCATTTCAGGTCGGCATGTGACCGCAGGGAGTTCTTGGTGATGCACATCGACGGTTCGTCCGCCGGAACCGATGACTGCTTTTGCTCAACTGTCTTGGAAATGGACGGAGGAGTGCGAGCCTCGGCCAACTTCAGTCTCACCGCTGACTCGTCTGGTATGTCATTTCCTGTTTGTTTTTCTCTAGGTTTTAGGTATCTAGTGCTTCGGACAAATCGCCAAGAATGTTACTAATTGTCAAATATTTGTCAACTTTCCATGCACGCCAATCATTTTCCAAGGTTGATGAGGTGCGTGTTAATTCTTGCTGTCGAAAGGTTTCAACGTCTTGTGCACAGAGAATACGGGCGTTTCACAATGTGCGCCTTCAAGAGTTTGCAACGCGTTGGCCAATCACAATGCGCGAAATTTGTCGACCCAATGCACACTTGGGAACGGTCGACAAATTTTGCGCGTTGTGATTGGCCAACGCGTTGCAAACTCTTGGAGGCGCACTATTGTGAATCGCCCGTATTGTTATGGTGTTAAATGAGATGCATTAATATAGAGTAAGTCACTGTAATCAGTCCGAATATATGAAAATTAAATCTCATTCAGAACATTTGAAATGACGGAATACTGCCAATATTCTTCTTTTTTTCTTTTTTTTTCTAGATCCAGTGCATGCTTCCAAACGTGACTTGGAGGAATTAGCCACTTTTGACGTCGAAATGGCACAATATAAATATGAACTCCAAGAATGGAAAAGCATAGTGGTAAGTTGTCGGTGTTTGAAGGGCATTGATATTTAAGGATCAGCGATGTCTTTGGCTACTTAGCTGGAAAGGGAAGGATAATCACCCCCCGCCCCCACCCTTTTGAATGTTTTTTGTTTTGCCTCTGCCACGGCCACTTCGCGAATAGGCTTGTCGACAATGAATACAGTTCAATCAAAACATCGAGTTGAAGTCAAAGACTTACTTTCCCATTTGTCCCAGATGGTCACATTAGAAAAGAAATCCGTACATTTTTTCACAACCCATCAATTTCTCAAGTTCCTGTATTGAACAATTATTGCAAGCAGGCGATATAGGAGTCTTCATGGCGAAAAAACACACCCCTGGAAATCTTCGAGAAACTCGCTATTTCAAGACGATCCGGGAAGATCGCCCTCTTTTTGTTAACTGTCCTGTCCTCCAAGGATCTAATCAATGTTTATACATTATATCTGTGTACTTTGCAGGCCAAGTCTTGTGAGTTGAGAGACCTGCAGGTCTGTCCTTTAGGTGGCTGTTCGAATCCCTGAGGATGTACTACTGATCTGCTATTATTGACAATTCAATGGTCTACACTCAAGAAGTTCTATTTGAGGTTCCAACATTCTCCTTCCTCGCAGCTGTGCGATGTTTGTTTAATCCGAATTGGCCACACATCAAATTTGCTTCGTTTTCAATTGAATTATGAACCGAATTTAAAACGAAATTTGAAAGAGATATCCCAAGTGTGTTCTGAGAGAAAAAAGCCATGTAAAAATGCCCTCTGCTTTCTTCATAATTATAAAGGAGTTAAAGTAATTTTTTAACTAATTAATATATAATTCTTACTATTGAATTAAACTGTTTATTTATTAAATATCCAATACTTTATGAAATAATACTATTACTTCAAACATTTCTAATGCAAAAACTGCTGCAAACAGGTTGCTGGCTACAGTGACCTAAAATACGAATCCAAAAAATGGGTGGGGCTGACGTTTTGATCCTAGTCGAATCTTTCTCGCAGGCAAAAGTTAAATACTTTTACCCAGCTTCGACAATGATACAAATGTGTAAAAATCGATTCTCAGGCCAATTATGCAAAATCAGTCCTACCAATTTTCTTCAAATGAAAACTTAATTTGGTATTATATTTGTTATGTTAATAACACTCAGTAGAAATACGAAGTATGTTTGGAATAATCAGGCAGAGTTGGGAATGTGTCCAGGTCGATTAATGCGTATAGGGATTGGGCACAGAGGTACAAAAGAAATACATGTAAATTGTTGGAAAGTCGAGTATCAGCATAATAATCACTATTTTTATACGGTTCTACAACCACACAAACTGTGGGCAATTGATGTGAGAGGTTTTGGAAGTTTTTCATGCCTGATGATGTTTCTAGTATGAACACATTCCCTCTGTGTCATTTACAGATGGAAAGTTAGTTGGGTCATCATGTAAACCGGATGCTCATCCTCGTTAGCTTTCTGGTCCCCTAACTCCGCTATACATGGATATCCATGCATCCACCACAAACTGTGAAGTGCCAGTCTGTCCCGTTTTTGCGCGGACGACTAATTAGCCATCCACATTACAGGTTTCTGCATTAATGGGACACGTGACCATGCAGGGGCATAGTGCTGATGTCATTTCAAAGAAAAGAATTCATATTGCAAAAAGCTTAAATGCAAACAAAATATATGTTCTCTTATTGACTTGGAACATCTTTTCATACAATGAAGCAATAAAAAAAATCATTATTTTCAAGTGCATGGACGGCAAATACCATGCCATTTACAATAGTTCCGCACCAAGACAAAAGGCAGCTTTTTTCAAGGGTCTCGTTTAAAAGGACAGCATGAGAAGATGAGTGGCAACGAAGATGCTCAACATATCGCAATGAAACGTGCACCTTATGTGAACACAGAAATTCTTTAAGTTTCAGGGTCTGTCTCCAAATTTCCAATTTTTGGAAAGCCTCAAACTAGCTTCTTCGTAACTTCGTAAAGCTTAGATTCACAATGAATGGCCCCAATCAGATCCATTAAGTTGGGACGGCATTTAGATTAGAGTAGGTCCTATACAGCACCGTTACCTGTACAACGGACACGTCACAATTAGAATGCCCCCTTCCCAAGTCCCCTCCCCCTCCTCCAGCCGGGGCATAGACCGCGCTGTGAGGGACCAACATATGCAACATACACAAGGGTGTCCATCCCCCAGACACATTGAAAGTCCTTTTACAATGTCATGAGCAAAATCTGTTGTCCGAGGGTGCCCTAGCTGTGTTCTGTTTTAATATGTTTTGACAAATTGTTGCAGACAAAAAAGCAACATATTAAAAACAAAAATGTGAAAAAAAAATTTCACATGCTGCAACAGCTTCAATTATGGCTGCCATTTATTTCATTTATTGATGTTAATTTAAGGCCCACAGTTGAAGGGCTTTATTTAATGATAGGGTATGAACGTTTGCCTGAGACATCGCTTCATTCATACGAGTAGAAATCCGAATGCAAAATTGGACATGTTAAATGAAATAGTTTCTGCTGTGTTTTCAAAGGAATTCTCGCCAAATTTTACGGTCACTGAAAAGATGGTGTAATTTGCTTGCATCACGCCATTTCCAATCACAGAAGCAATTGGACAAATTTATGATATGGTTTTAATGTAATGTTTGATCAAAAGAATACTTACTTGTACATGTATATTAATTTAATGGAATGTGTAGGGTAGGGTGATGTGGCCGCTACGTTTGGCGGTACATGTATTCGATTCGTGTTTGAAAAGTTTGTTCAGAAAATAAGGACGTTTTCACCATAGCCATCCCAATGACGCACAGAGTAACTTTGCTGAAACCTATTTCATGATAAATTCCATACAGACATGAAAATGATATCACAAAGTCCAAGTCAGATCACCAGTAAACGAGTTACCGTGGCATTGCCCCTACGCTAAAAAAAAAACATGACCGACATATCCGCTGTGATATAGCAACGTGCACAGCGACGACTGTACGACCGACGGCGCGTGGATTAAAAGCAATAGCGTTACTGATTTGAGAACCGTGAGATTCTGGGGTCATTTTCTACTGTGGACATATTGACAGTTAAGGAGGTTTCTTTCGTTTTTAGTTTATTTGGTTTTAAATCATTTCAACATATTCGTTCTTTCTGGGGAAGACCTCTCTGTCCAGTGACGGATCGACTATTTACAAAAACGGTCAGGATCGCCTACGCTCTTGGACCCAAGGAGATAAACAAAAACATGCAATTGAGACATTATCGAGAATATCTGATTGAAAAATATTTACAAACCAACCTAGAGCAAATAAAGACTTCATTTGAAAATGTACTTCCCTTAAATTAATAAAATAAGGGGTGAAGTGAGATGACTCGTGATATTTTCAGAAAATTTAATTCGAACATGTACGTTTGGGATCGGTTTTATTGACGTCGAATATTAAGGAAATTAAGATTACCAATGAAACTATATAAACGAATTGATGCACGTGCTTAATAATCAGGACTTTTTTTAACTCGCAAGTTCAAACCTACAAGAAATGTTAGTTTTCTTAAATGTTACAAAAAAGTGGTAACGGAAAAATCCAAAAGTTATGTGGTGTTGACCAA